CTCAAAAAAAAAAAAAAAAGACCTTTTGCCCACTTTTAAATCACTTTTCTTTTTATTATTGAAATGTAAGAGTTCTTTATATATTCAGTGAATAAGTACATTATCAGAAACATGATTTGCAAAATTTTTCTCCCGTTTTGTGGATTTTATTTTTACTTTCTTGACAGTGTCCTTTGAAGCACAGGTTTTTAATTCGGACAATGCCCAGTGTATCTGTTTTTGTTGTTGCTTGTGCTTTTGGTGTTATATCCAAGAAAACATTGCCCATTCAATGTCATGGAGATTTACTATTATTTTTTTCTTCTAAGAGTTTAATAGGTTTAGCTGTTATCTTTAGATCTTTGATTAAGTTTGGGTTAATTTTTGTATTTGGTGTGAGGTAGGGGTTCCACTCCATTCTTTTGCATATGGATAGTCAGTTGTTCCAGCTCCATTTCTTGAAGAGATTATTCCTTCCCCATTGAATTATCTTGTTAAAAATTGATTGACTATAAATGTGAGAGTTTTTTTAAGAATCCTCAGTTCTATTCCATTGATCTGTACATCTGTTCTTACGCTATTACTGTAGCTTTGTAGTAAGTTTTGAAATCAGGAAGTGTGAGTTCTCCAACTTTGTTCTTTTTTCAAGATTGTTTTGGCTATTCTGGGTTCCTTACATTTCACGTGCATTTTAGGATCCACTTATCAGTTTCTGCAAAGAAGCCAGATGGGTTTTGATGAGGGTTGTGTTAAATCTATAGATCTGGGGAGTAATGCCATTTTGATAATATTAAGTTTTATGATTCATGAACATGGGATGTTTTTCCACTCATTAGCTGCTCTTTAATTTTTTTGTAGTTTTCAGAGTATAAGTTTTATATTTCTTTCATTAAATTTACAATGCTTTTTTAATTGAATTTATTCCAACATATTTTATTCTTTTGGATCCTATTGTAAACAGAATTGTTTTCTTAATTTATTTTTGTTTTTTTCACTGCCACTATATAGAAATATATTGACTTTTATAGATTGATCTTATATCTTCCAACCTTGTTGAACTTGTTGATTAGTTTCAATAGGTATTTAGTGGATTCCTTAGGATTTTTTGTATAAGAGATCATATCATCTGCAAATAGAGATGTTTTTAGTTCTTTCTTTTAAATCTAGGTGCCTTTTATTTCATTTTCTTGCCTTAATGCCCTGGCTAAAACCTCTAAGTGGTAACAATGAACACCCTTATCTTGTTCCTGATATTAGGGAGAAAGCATTAAATCTTTCACCATTGCTGGGCATGCTGGCTGGGTACTTTGGGAGGCTGAGTCAGGAGAATCACATAGTTCCAGGAATTTGAGACCAGCCTGGGCAACATAGCAAGACCCTGTCTCTACAAAAATTAAAGAAACTTACCCAGGCATGGTGTAAGTCCTAGCTACTCAGGAGGCTGAGGCAGGAGGATTGCTTTAGCTCAGGAGTTCAAGGCCACAGTGAGCTATTATCATGACACTGTACTCGAACGTGGGTGACAGAGTGAGACTTTCTCTAAGATAAAAAATTAAAAAAAACTTTCACCATTAACTATGATGTTAGTTGTGAGGTTTTCGTTGAAGCCCATTTTCCAGATGAGAAAGTTCCCTTTTGTTCCTAGTTTCTTGTGTGTTTTTATGATGAAGGGATACTGAATTGTGTCAAATGCTTTGCCTATCTACTGAGATGATCGTCTATGGCTGTACCACCCTGAATGCGCCCAATCTCGTTTGATCTGTTGAGATGATCATGTAGTTTTGTTCTTTATTGTATTGATATGGTGTATTACACTAATTTTGGGATGTTAAACCAACTTTGCATCCCAGGAGAATCCCACTTGGTCATAGTGTAGCATCCTTTTTATGTGCTGCTGGATTCAGTTTCCTAGTTTTTTGTTGGGGATTTTTGTATATATATTCATAAGACATATCAGTCTGTAGTTTGTTGTGATATCTTTGTCTGTTTTTGGTATCAGGGAAATAGTAATCACATAGAATGAGTTGAAAAGTGTTCCCTCCTCCTCGATTTTGGAAGAGTTTGTGAAGAATTGGTACTAATTATGAATGTACTGTTGGCCAAAATACAAATAACTTATCCAATTCAAAATTCTGTAAGATTTTATTAAAAGAGGATATTTCTAGGATCCCATGATTTGGATTTAAAGCAAATATTGTTTAATCACAGCATTTTAAAATTGCAAGGTCATCTACCCCAGCTCACTGTTTGCAAGATGCCCATCAGTCACCAGTGGAACATACGCTTCTGATGCTGATGGTCTTCATTGGATGGTGAGAACCATTGCACAACACTAGTATTAGAAATCACTTCTTTATATTAAGCTGAAGTCTGCCTCATTGGAACCTCTGTCCATAAGTCCTAATTCTGACCCAATGATACAGACTGCTTATCCCCAGTCCCTTCTGCCAGTCTTCTAGTGGCATAACACCAAACACTTCCAGGTCATAGTTTGCCATTTCCCTTTTTAGAGGAATGGCATGCTCAAAACTTGTTGGCTGACCATAGCATGGAGGAACTCTTCCTTTGGCCTGGCCACTGCATTTGTAAAGTGCTACCTGCAATCATGAGGGTTTTTTTTTTTTTTTTTACCGGCCTTTTTTTTTTTTTTTGTTTCTTTTTGTTTTTGTTTCCACTTGAACTTTTGGTTTTTTTGCTTGAGATACAGCTTCTCATTTGCCTTTATTCACACAGTTTTAACCACACTCATTTCATTGGCTTTAGCTGCATTCTATGCAAAAGTTGGGCCACACTATATAACTATACAGTGCAATAAAAATTTGAATAATTGCTTGGGTTTTGATATACTAGAGCTTCAGCTGGGGTCATGTGACTCCTGTGTGCTAGAAAATACCCTTTCAGAATGTAGCCCTGGGAACACTGAATGCAACTGTATAGAAATGAATGTGAATTTACAAGGCCTGCAAGGCAATCTACAAGAATGAAAATGTTGGGACTATAGGTGTAGTCTTTGTTTAAAGGTAGCATAATTAAAGTGTGTATGTTTTCACAGTTTATGTAAATGTATCTCATAGAATACATGTAATGTTCTCTGAGGACAGATGTGATCCTTGGTCCTATATTTGCCACCTAGAGTGAATGCACCATTGGTTTTGGAGGCGTTCCTGTGTGTGGGTGTTTTTAGCCCTTTCTCATGTATTTCACGCCTAGTCCTCAGAACAGTCCTGTGGTAGAGATGAGCCCTTCGGTATCAGGTGGCAAAGCTGACTCATGGTAAGTAGATTTCATACTTCACGAGTACCAGAGCTGGAATTCAAACCCGGATCCAATTTTAAAACCCATGTTCTTCCTACTGTTCCATGGTGCTTTTCAAGTTTATGGTAAAACCTTTCCCCTTTAGAAAATTATGTAAAAATAAATATTGTGTGGACTTGGCTAAAACACTGAAATATACTCAAAGCACCAAAAATGCATGTCATTTTTTTTTTGGCTTTTTAAAATCACTGTTTATTCCATTTGGTAGAGGGTTTTTTTTTTCCATACAAATATTTGCAACAATTTTGAATTCCCCAAAACCATACATAGACGATAAATACCATGCTATTAAAGTATTAAATTTGTACAAAAATACTTTACAGTTTAATACTTGTTTGTTACAAATAAAAATACATATTTAAGTGACTCATGATCTTTTTTTTTTTTTTCTTAACATGATTCTGCTTTATACTTTCTTGCCCTGGCGGTTCTGAAATGTGATTGAAGTAATATATTTCTTTGCACAAAAAGAAAGGTGAACTTTTTCCTTAAACAAAGGACACAGTGTTCAAATGCTTTGCCTAAGTGATAGTTTGAATTATTGACCAAAATGAAAATGTTGGGAAAATAATCATTTTGATATGGAGATTCTACCATCAACATACAGATCTATTTTTTTTTTATTCACTGAATAACAGTTATTAGTGTAGCTATTCAAAATATCTGAACAAATGAAAACAGCTGCTGACAAACAGTAAAAGCAACTGTCACGATTTATTGCTTTGAGGGATGGTAATAATTGGCAATGCATTTTGTGAAAAATGTATTTACAATTTCAGTAAGTGGCATGGCTCAGAACAGAAGATAGTCCAGTGTCATTTTTAAGTACATGTGCTGTACACCCCTCAGTATTACCAGTTTTCAAAACGTCAAGCAGTATGAGTTTGATTTGCCTATCATTAAGATGAACCTCATTTTAATAGACTCTTCATTCTCTCTTAAGTTCTTAGTCTTGAATTTTAAAAATAAGGTAATATAACTAATTCTCAGTGTGACTACACACTCTAATTCATTATCAGAGATTTTCAGCTATTAAAAATGTGTCCTTAAAAAAAAAAACAGGTCACAAGACATATCCTGTTTGATAATTTGTTGCATAGGGAATAGCATACATCTTAGTTTTAAAAATCATTCCTATACTTGGGCAAAACATTTACCACCACCTATTATGGTCTCCTACGTGCATCATTGCGGAAATATTTTAAGATAACTTAATTTTATGCCTGTGCCCCTCCCATCCTTGTAGTCCCAGCAGTTTACCAAACACTAATTCCTCTAGTAGAGCCAGCTTATGAAAAGCCTTGTTGGTCAAATTCTTACATTAATGACTTCATAGTAAGAAACTGATTTCAAAGTGAATTAAGGAAATTATCATAGAGAATATTTTCAAACAGGCATTTCTTTTTTTTAAAAAGTGACAGTAAGATGAACTTGTAAAAAATTTCCTCTGATGTTAATTGTGGGGAGGGGCAACCTACCTATTCTTCTCTACCATTGGGCCAGGCAGGGAACTGCCTGCCATATACCATAGTGGTCACCAAAAAAGAAACCTCTTCAACTTGAAAAGGGAAGTGAACATGAGCCATGAGAGAGATTTAAAAGACCCCTGTGCTTGCAGTTAATGCCACGTGATTATCTGTGCTTCAAACGTCACAGAAATCTTAAAGGGATTTTTAGCACCATGTAGATAGTCTTTTGTCCCGCTTTATAAAAAGCTTTGCTATAATGTATTAGTGGGTTCTCGTGTCTCCAAATTACCACCGTGGCTAGGCTGCTGGAAAAAAGCACTATTCTGTTCACTCCAGTCTCCTGGTAGAGGCTGTTGTTCTATAGACTTCTGTGAAGCCAGTGGGTTTCTGCTAATAACCAGGTCCAGCTTGTTACCGGATTCTGCTATGAGGGGCACAACTAGGCAGCAGTCAAAGTCTCTTGTTCGGACGTGATTAACCTGAAAGGACAAGAAGAGCCATTTTCAGTTATTGTTATAACTGTAATTCCCAAAGCCCAGAGGAGTACTTCAGGTGCAACAAGTTGTCTACAGTCTTGAAAGCGCCAAAGAGAGCACCACGTACAGAGAGGTCAATCCCTGCTCTGACGACGCTATATATAATGTGGCTATTGTCTCACTTGTCATTCTCTGCTACTAGATCGTAAGGCGGAGAAGAAGTACACGCCCTACCATCCTCATGCCAAGCAGGGCGCCGCACCTGTTGGGGGTTCTCTGAGTGCTGAATATGATCCCCAATTCACAGATGAGAAAAGCGAAGCCTGGAGAGGTTAAGAGCTTGGTCTTAGATCAGCAGTTGGTAAGGTTCAGGCTAGGATGTAATCGCAGGCAGTCTGTCTGATTCCAAAGCCTGTGCTCTTAACCATGATGCTGAACTACTCTCTTCTAAGTGAGCTCAGCCCCTCTTCAGCTTATACTTGTGCTCATCTTCTTCCACTTCTCCTTCACAAACAAAAGTTTAAACATCATCTACACGCTGCTTCCACTCCTTGACTTCCCAGTGGCTACTCGATCTTCTCGGGTGTGGGCCCTGACACACTGCACTGCTGGCAGTGACCCCACTTGTCACACCCAGGAATGCTCTGGAGCTCATCCTCCCGGGCCTTTAGCACTTGCTGGTCTCGACACTCTTCTTCCTGGGTTCCTATGACACCACTTTGTTTTGATCATTTTACCACTTTAACTGTTCACGTTCAGTCTTTTCCTGCCTTTATTTCTTCCTGTCCTTAAAAACTGTGTTGTGGTTAGAATTCTATCTTTGGTTCTCTTCTCTTCCTTATTATAAGCCCATCATAAGCAACTTGATCCAGACCCATGCCTTCAGTATTCTAAATCTTTAGCTCCGTCTCTAACATCTCTCCTGCCCAGCAGATCCAAACTGACAACTGCCTTCCACACTGCTCTGTTAGGAAGTGCTGAAGATACTGAAGTCTCATTAGGTCTGAGACAGGCATCTTACCCACACCTACCTGGTCTTCTTGTCTGTGATCTTCCTCTTCCCTGTCATACCTCCAGCCACCCACAATAATATCATATTGCTTAAATTACAAATTATGTCATCATTCTGCTGAAGAAATTATTATGCCTCCAGCAGAAAGCCCAAGAGCTTTAACATACTATGAATGTAGTCTACTTTTATAGCCTCAACTTCCATGACAGTAGGAATCCTCCAATTTATAGATTAGGAAGACACTCATAGAGGTTAAGTAAGTTGTCCGTAGTTGTTCATTCAGCAAATATTAGAGCATCTATGGGAAGTAAAGTGTCCCCATGCTCCTAGGATAACACTGATTGTTCTACTGCCATGTTAAAAATAACTACCAGAATTGGCTTTAAAACTACCGAATTGACCAATGCCAACTTGCTTCAGTGAACACATCTTTGAAAGCCAACCCATCGGTGGCAGCCTCATGCTTTGAAAGTCAGCTGTTTGGTGACAGACTCATTCCAGGTGTGTACGTTTCTAAGATTGATGTCAACCCACTCCCTTTCCTGCAAAACGCTCTTCTTAAAACCTGTACATAAGATCAGAAATCTGCTTTGCTAAATGAAACTGTACCTGACCAAGATAGTACTACATTAAGTAAGGCAGGTTCAGCTTTTAGGTTTCAGATATTGTATGAGATACTGAGATATGAAGCACCGTATAATGGGAAATGAGAGAATAAGGTACTAGCCCTCCTCTGAAGAAGTTACAATCTGCTGGGGATATATCCAGGGAAACAGGCAGTTTTGATAACAAATTCTACCAAAGGAAAAGGCTTCTATCCTATATAGGAGGGGCCCCTAATCCAGTCTTGGGGCAAAGGAGGCTGGGTGGCCATTGGTCAAGTGAGACTGAAGTCCTCTAAGCCAGTAGTTTTCAATTTGGCTGTTCATTGTCATCACCTGGGGAGCTTTAAAAACACAGTGATGCCAAATCTCACTCCTAGAGATGCTCATTTAATGGGTCTTGGATCTGGTCTGGGCAAATCAGGTGATTCCATTTTTTGGTCAAAGTTGAGAATCACTGATCTACATGAGACCAAAAGGTTAAGTAGGAGTTAGGCCGGTAAGGAATGGGGCACAGAAGAGTGTTTCAGAGAAAGGGAATAATATATTTCAATGTTCAGAACCAAAATGCTTTTATTTTTCTATACAATACTGACCACTTTTTATGTGACAGGCATTGTTTTTAGAAGTGGGAATAGAGCAGTGAGTAAAATCCCTGCCCTCACGGAGTTACGTTCTAATGGGCAATACAAAGGGAACTGATGACTAGTCTGGCTTCACTGCAAAGAAAGAAAGGAGGGCGAGGGAATGGAGAGGGAGGGATGCCCTTTTCGACAGAGTAGTTTAACATGGCCTGAGCAGGGACCTGAAGTACGGCAGGGAGCATGTGCATGTTTGGCAGAGGAGCAGCGCAAGCTCAGGGAACAGCGGGTGCAAAGGGCCTGGGTGCAAATGCACTTGGTTTGTGAAGGAACACAGTGGGGTGTGGGTGGCAAATAAGGCACATTCTAGATAGGAGGCCAAGGGGTGGCAGGATATGCCATTCCCGAAACAAGTCCAGTTGTAAGCAGAGAGTGTAAGCAGAGAGTATATGAAGATAAAGGTAAGACAGGACACTGGCAAAGGAAAGAGAGGCCAAGTCCCAAGGGCCTTGTAGGTCACGCTGAGGAGTGGGGAGAAGTAGACTGGTGGGGCGTGGAGTCAGGTAACTACGTATTATATTTATGTTATTACTCTATGATTGTGGGAGACGCCTGTGGTTGGGTGGGGTCTGAGGCATAAGCATTAGATTGGGAAAGATAGCTTTGAGCTCATTGCCAAAAAAACCTGATAAGAAATCAGAGAACGTTTGGGGCTGGGATCGAATTTGCTAGGGCTGAAAATTCTTTATTCAGCTGTTCACTCCTACTGATTCCATAATCTTGATGACAAGGTTTGAAGGGAAAAAGAGCAAAGGGCTTCAAACGTGCAGGAAGGTTTGGAGGAAATTCCCGGTCATAAGCTAGTTGCAAGGAATTAAAATTCCACCTGAAGTCTTACCTGTAAGAGCCTGTCATAGGGCTTTAAGCCACCAAGATCTCCTGGGCCGGCCGGGCGAATATTTTTAACATATACTCCTTTCTCCAGCAAGCCATCTGCCACACTGAACCCGAAGTCCTCCATGTCAGAGTCCTTGTACAAAGTCACCTGAAAAGTGAGAAAATGTGAAGAGAACATTTAGCTGGGCTGGAGACTTTTGCTTCTGAAATTTTTTGATGAGCAATCTTTTCAAAATAATTTCAGTAACATAACGGATTTATAACATAAGCATTCGGTAGCTCCCCTCCCCAACCCTGCAGCTTTTTTCCCCACTCCAAGAATATCCTTATCCTTGGAATTTGTAAAATCCCATCCAGAACTCAAAAAGGAGATGGAGAACTGGAGAGTTCTGTCCGTCCTTTTGCCCTTCCTCCCTCCCTCCCTCCTTCCCTTCTTCCTTCCTCCCTCCCTTGCTGGAGAGAATCTTCCCAGGGCAGGTTGACTTCTACTATTTTCCTGGAGCAACCTCCTGGTATGAGGCAGCCCTTTGCAACTGCTGAGATGTTGAGGATTAAGCCAAGTGCCCGCCCCACTCCCGCCTGGCGCTCTGCTAAGTACGGTGCTCAGTGCTCCCTCTCCCTTTGTGCAAGTACCCCAAATCCATCATTTTACGTGCTCTGGCTCCCCAGTCGGCACCATCACAAAACACTACCTAAAGGACCTGAAAGTGTTCCTGTAACAAACACCTTGCCCTGGGACTTGGCTCGACTCGCTCGCTCGGCATTTGCCTAGGGTTTGGCTGCGCAGCTCGAGGCATCCACCCTCGTGTGCTGCGGCCTCTGCGGCTGTCTTTGCACCGGAGGCCAGCTGGTGCCAGCTAGAGCTTGCCCCAGTCCTCGTTCCTCCCCTGACCACCTGCAAGGGCTAGTCCGAGGTGAAAAGAATAAATCATTTGTGCATTCATCAAACGTTCATTGAGTCCCTACCATATTCTAAGCACGGTTTAGGGTGCTGGACCAGTAGCAGAAGGGGAGAAAGAAGAGCCTGCCTTCGAGCGGCAAACACACGAATACGTAGCAGCCCCGAGCACTCGCTGTGACAGACACTCGGCGCTTTTCACGCATTTAGCGCTTCGCGGCGGCCGCTGTTTCTATCAAGATTTGCTGGATGCCCTTCACAAAAACTGATGCACACTTCAAGTAATTATTTGGGCTTACTTTTTTTTTTTTAACGAAAAGAGTTGACAATTTTATTTTCGCATTTCACAATACAAATGAAAACTGCCCTTTTTTCGGTTCCACTTCTTCCCTTCAAAACCATTCTCTCTTTGATAGGAAGGGGGAGCAGGCCTTCCTTATCATGCTGTTTGGAAAACACCCGGAGTCACAGTGCCATGATCTCCCGGTGAAGCAGAACAAGTATTAAACTGACATAAAGAGACCCCCCCCCCCATCCTTATCTGTCTGGTCGAGTCATTCCAGGCCGAGTGGGCACCATCATGGGACGGGCGGGAGGTCTCATCATTGGGGGCCCAGGCATCATTGGCATGTGGCCTCCCACGGGTGGCCTCATTCCAGGAGTAGGTCCCACTGGCATCATCCTGGGAGGAGAAGGGCCCATCACTGGCATCATGGGAGGGCCCCCCATATGGGGTGCTGGCATCATACCAGGGCGAGGAAGACCTGGAAGACTGGGGGGAGGTGGTCTCATCGCCCCTGCAGGAGGAGGAGCAGAGAACGGAGTAGGAGGTATTTTTCCTTGTTGAAATGCAGCCGTTGTTTTGCCAGGCAGGCTCTGGGCCTGCTCTTCCATCCAATTCTGATGGTCATCTTTCACATTCTCTTTGTGTTTCCTACCACTGCCGTGTGTCTTTCTCACAGACGGAAAGTCATGGGTGAGGTGCGTATCACAGGAGTCACAATAAAACTTGGGCATGTTCTCTGCAGGCCGTTGGCCACTCTGTTCTCTGGGATTACTTTTTTTTTTTTTTTACTGTAATTATACAGTTACATGGCTGGATACTTTCTGGATAGCCCTTTTATACACACACACACACACACACACACACATTTATTTATTTTTACACAACTAGTACATGAATATATTCTTGTAAAACAGTAAAAAAAATTCAGAGCTCTACTGGGCAAAGTGAAGATAAAAACTTTTATTGCAGGTTAATTTTTTATCCAATCACTTTACTTCAGAAAGGTATGGAATACCGAAGGAAATACGAAAGTGATCAGTGTGTGGATTTTTATTTTACTGGACAGAGAGCTAAAATATCAAGCTGACTGGGTCAATACTAATCACGAGGCAGCCCTAGTGGTTATTGCCATGTTAGAGGTGAGGAAATTCAATTTTATAGGGTTAAGTAACCTGCCCCAGGCCACAAAGGTGATGAATGGTGAGGCCGTGTCTGTCAGACTCTAGACATCAAGCGCTTCACCATTTGTACTTTATTGCCACTCAACATGCCTTATTGCTTTGATTCTAAGATGGATTTGTTTTGCACATTTTAAAATCTCTGAAGTCAGACTGTATTTTGTTATTGATGTCATCTTTGATCCCATGAAATATGTTATATTAATGTTCCACCTCTACCTGCATCTTCCCCACAAGTACGTCAGAAGGTAAGGGGCAGACCTTTGTTGCAACTTTGCTTCAGGGGAAAAAAATGTGCCTCTATGCCTTGCCACTTAAGAGTGTCCTCCCAGACAGGAGCAACTCTCAGGAGCCTGTTAAAATGCACAGTCTCAGGCCCCAGCCCAGACTGACTGACGAGAATCTGCAGATCTAACATTTATTGAGGTGACACTCTCGGGAGACGCATGCCATCACTGTGTGTATGTGAATGGGTGTGTGTGTATGTGTGTGTGTGCACTCACACATGCACTAGACCTTAGTATGTGCTAAGTGCTGTTTTAGGGACTGAGAATATAGCAGGATATTGTGAAAAAAAAAATAGACATAGCAATGAGCAAAATACAGCCTTTGTGAGTATAGTCCAGTGAAGAAACCTGATTGAATCCTAGATTTAATCCACTACCCATCTCCGGGCTAACCAGGGCCACCATGGCACGAGTTCTTCATTGCTCAATTGGCCTGTGATTATTGGGTGTTTGCTGCCCAGGCCAGAAGCCAGGAGGGGGCAAAAGGATGAGTGGCACCTAAAACTGCCAACGTCGATCAATGGTAATACATTGGCCAAAACTTTAGAGATGGTGCCACTGTATTTCTAATGAGCAGGGGAGCTCATTAACTTTAAAGTCACAGTTGTTGACCAAGAGCCTTGGTTTCTCTGAGCCTCAGACTTGATGTATCTCTCTGGAAAACTCTTCAGGATGCCAGGCTAGCAAACGGTTTAAATTTGAAAGTAATCTGTTTCTCTAGAAATATTTCCTAAGGTCAGAGGATACTGAATTTTAATAGTCAGATCTATTTCTCCTGGAAATAGCTTGATAATAGCAAATTAACAAAAATGAAATTATTTGAAAACCACAGAAGAGAGAAAGAAGATTCCAGAAGTCAATAATTCACAAAAATGGGGAGCACAGCTCACTACCCTCAAAGCAGCAACAGTAAATTGTGCCACGTGGCCCTGTTTGCCTGGAGATGGGTAGTGGTTACCTTTATTTCTTGTCCAAAAATAATTCTAAGGAATCTGAGGTGTAAGTCACCTTTTTTTGCCCCCACAAGTAAATCCCTTATCCAGGTCCTCGCTTTTGATCTCCCAGCAGCTCTGTGTGGCCAAATCATTCCTTTTCCACTAATGAGGGCGCTGAGCCTTGATGACACGGAGGGGCTGACTTGTCCAGTGAATGCAGACGCTCCAGAGTCAGTATGAGAATATCTGACCTCATTCGCTGTGTTCTTTCCACCAAATCATATATTTTTTTCCAGACATATAATCTGCTAGCTAGTCAGGCAGCTTTTATCCAATTCCAACTGCCCAACAAACTAAAGATGAATAATTTATCATGTCTGCTGTGTTCCTTCTCATCAGAACCCTTTCGTGGCTTTCCAGGAACATCTGCATAGACTCCTGCTCCCCGCGCCTACAGCTCCTCATCCTGTCAGTTGGCTTCGTAGTCTACCCTAGCCCCTGTGGAGCAAGCTTTTTCTTGTAGAGCCTCTATTTTGTGCTGACTAAAGTATGCCTCCAGGGAATCTGGACCATGAACACAACTGCAAGATTTTTTTCTGTTCTAAAAGAGCCAACTATTGGAACATAACACCGCGGGCTGGGACACAGTGCTACAAAGCGCAGTTCAATTCTAACCGTTTGTCAGCATGTGCCGCAATTGCTTCTCGCCCTCCCAAGAACAGAAGCTTTAACAGGAGGCACGGTGAGGTCACCATGATTCATGTTCAGCCTTGTTTTATATTTCTAAGCAAGTCTGCCCACATGTCTGAACAGTGTTCTCGAGGCAAAGACCAGAAACCCGATGCTCATGTTTTCAGCGTTGACACATGTGAAAAGCTTTAGCCACAGAGCCAGCTCCCCCGCCTTGGATTTTAAGGGCAATTGCGTCTACTATCCTGAGCAAGTCGTGGTGAGTGACAGCCATCCTGGAAGCAGTTCTCAAGCTCTGACAGCCTCTCTCTGGCTCATTCCCTTGTCCTAACGGCCTTCAGGACCAGACCGACACCTGCTTCTCAGAGACAGTGCTGGTCTTCCCGTAAATCACCAGGTACTTGGGTTTACTCTTGGCAGACACCACTGGGGTAGCCCTGTCCCTTTGAACCTGGCAATTCAAGTAACGTCAGTTTTGAGGACAATCCTACACTACCTGCAGGGCTGGAAGAAAAAAATAAAATATAGTCTTCTCAACTGTAATCTTCCAGCCCAAGAGGAAGCAATCTCTGTTTATGCTGCCAGAAACTCATGGGTTTTGAGACAAATTGGGTCAGAAAGGCAGCTGCTACCCCGAGTCTGGGGAGTCTTGCTGGCAGAGAGACAGGGACAGCTGGCGCACGTGCTGCCTCCTGCTGCTCTCCAGCAACAGCGCGGCACCGAGGGCTGGGAAAATGAGGGCTCCACAAGGGAATCTGAGCTGGATTTTGGCTCTAAGTATGAACAAGTCAGGGGCTGACCTGGCCCTTGGAGACAGCTGAGTTCCAACCATGGGAGCACCACCGTGCTTACGATCTGTGGCAGGTGTGTGTGC